GGCCCGACGGACCCAAGAGTGGACATGCGTTCGGTTAACCATGGGTTTGAAATAGAATCCAATGGAGCAGGAAAAGCGGAAAACTCGGCGCCCTGGAGCACGGGGCGGGGAGGCCGGGGAAAGGCTGAGCGGTCCTGCGTTAACTCCGCCGCAGCTCCCCAGCACCGGCTAACAGTCCAGGTTTACGGCCGGCTGTGTCGCCAGCGCATAAATCACTGTCAGCCGAGACAGGGGGGCAGAGCGATCCCGCGCCCTGGCCCTGGCCCTGGCCCTGGGCAGGATAACTGCTCTGGCTGGGCGCGAAATTTCCCCACCAGGACGGAATATTTGCCCGGAATCTTTGCCTGAGCGTCTCCTNGCAGGATAACTGCCCTGGCTGGGCGCGAAATTTCCCCACCAGGACGGAATATTTGCCCGGAATCTTTGCCTGAGCGTCTCCTTGGCTCCAAATACGCGCTTGCCCTTGAACAGACGCTCCAAGGGCGCTGGGGGAAGGAGAGTCTAGGGACCGACCGCTCGCGACGGCCTGATTTTTGTCCCAACCGTGAGAGATTGCAAGAGCGCACATCAGGTTTCATTTCGTGCCCGGGGAGCGCTGCGCCCATCAAAGTCAAAGTGGCATTCTCAAGGTCACAGGGAGCTCTAGGAGAACTGCTGCTTGGCCCCAGCCTCCCGATTCCTGCTCTCACCGCCGGCCCCCTCCGCCTCTCGGATTCGTTCTGTTTTAGAGACGGATCTAAGGGTGCCTGTAAGAAAGATTCACTCTTTGCTGCCCTAGCAATTTATCGGTATAATTTTCAAGGTGACATTTCCAGTTATCGGCCCAGGAATGTACTTCAGATCTTCCCTCTCACCCTACATCACGCATTCAGATGAGGGGGATCCCAGGCACTCTCAGACAGATGTCAGGGTGCTAGACACCCGGCTCCCCTCCCAGCCGCTGCGGCTGCGGCGCGGTGGGTTCCAGGCCCCCGTCCGAGGCAGGGAAAGGAATTCCGCGCAGAGCCGGAGACTGGGGGACACGGGGGAGGAGGGGGGTGGGCGCGGGCTTCGAGAAATGCCACAGTGAGGCAAGTGGTCAGGCAATCAACTTTCACCTTCTCAGACGCTGCTATTAGAAAAGGGACTGGTTTTCGTCCAGCAAACTCTCCCCTCAGGCGTTCAGGGCTTGACGTTATCGTGATTATTTCTCACTATTGACATTCAGGACTTTAGGGAAAGACACTCGCACACCTCCCCACTTGGGCGAACTCGAGCCATTTCAGATTCTTTGTCCCCGTAGTTTCCTTTATGTATTTATTTTTTGAAACCTGGGTTAGAAAGTTGGTAGTCTTCCCCTCCCCCTCCAGCGTCATTTATTTCAGAAGAGGCCACACACTATTGATCTCTACCTCTTAATTCTCATTCGAATGATCTCTCTCCCTCTCAACTCCTCCAAGAACAGAAAAGAAAGAAACCCCAACCTTCAACTGTCAACTGTTTTCCAAACACCAGATTAATGTTTCCCAGGACTCGGTAGTAACGTGACCTTTCTGTTTTCAGATGTGTTTTTCAACATGTAATCGTTTGTTTGTTATGTCTCTCCATGCGGAATAAGGAAAGCTGGGGGGAGAGTGCCTGTTGCTAGAGGGAGGGAAAAATGAAAAGATTCCGAGCCTGTTTTTGTTCCCTCCTCAACCTGGGAAAGCTCAAAGCATTTTATTTTTATTTTCTTGAAGATAATCCCCAGGGGGGAAAAAAATCTCCGGTACTGGCATTGAAAAGAAACCGAGCACTTGATAAGCAACGATTTAAAACAAAACAACAGCAACAAAACTCACTCCCAAACAAAAATCTAATAAATGCATTTTTTTAAGGAGGAGACATTCTGGGGGTGCTGGCAATACTCTTTTCTTGATCTAGGTAGTTACATGAAAAGCATTATTTTAAATTATTTATCAAGCTTTCACTTATGATCTCTGTCCCTTTTTGGATTGTTATACTCCAATAAAAAGTTTTTAAAATCTAAGAAACAGGGAATCTCTGATGTGTATGTAACTAGAGATTCTAAAACTTATGCATAATAAATTTCCAAGCCAATACATTTGTTTAACTGTATTTAAGAAATTTACCAATAACTTGATTTCTAAATAAGTTCTGAATCAAACTGACATATTCTTGAATTAGTTATTAGGAAGCCAGCATAAATATTTGATCACCGTTTCTATGATATTAAAATATCAAATAAGCCATGAGAATTTAAAGCTTGTCTTAAGAAATACCTAAAGAAGCAAAGTAGCTATTTGGTTCAAAAAACAAACAAACAAAAAACCACAGGCTTCATACTTTAAAACAGTATTTAATTGTTTGATACTATCTCCTACTAGAAAACGTTTTATCCCAAATGAGAATTTTAAAAAGAATCTCAGCCATACTCAAAAGTAAATTTCTACTGCTAGAAAGATGCCAGTTTCAACCTTGTTTTCCCTCCATAAAATATTATTAGGCTGCTTTCAAGCTTAGTGACTAAGTATTTCACCGAGAACCAAAGACTAAATTGCTCTTCCCGTTTAATCAATAGGTTTTATTGCTGGCACCAGCCTCACTAATGACCCACTCCTTACTGCGCCCTTTCTCTCACCTTCCTTCTCTACCGCACCTCAATCTTCCTCCTACCCCGTACAGTTTAGAGAAATCGAGGTTCCCAATCTAGGAAGTTATTTTCCGACAAATGGCCTTCCTGTGGACTCCCGCCCCTTTCCCTTTCTCTCTCCAGTGGACCCTTTATCACCGAGAACAATCGCTAAGCCCGCGCTGCCCACATGGAGGCTTCACTGCTGCTTTATTTTATAGGCCCTTCCGCGGTTTTATGATTGGTTGCTGTGGTTGGAATGTTTATAGATAATAAACAACTAATCCATTTCTTGCCTAATGAATTGCCCCACCCGCGTACCAGTTTAACACCCGTAACTAGCTCCAGGATCAAGCTGAGCCAGTGTACAGGGGGGACCGAAACCACCCAACTGCGCTGCCAGTTAATATCAAAGCTTAATCACCCAGAGTCCGCGGGCGCGCAGTTCCCGTTTTCCAGGTCCCCTCCCCGCAGC